GAGCAAACAGCGTCAGAACCCCTCGTTCGGATGGTATATAACGCTGCCATTGGTGGGAAAACTCGCATTTGGTGGTCCTTTTAAGGACCACACATCTCCTTTGGTACATCGTAGTCGGCATTGTCAGTGAGTATCGCCATTACTAGCAACATACAACAACTCGTCAAAAGAGACAAGTGAAGCCGAGTTTTTGACCAAACGTGTGCTAAACAGTTGTGGTATCTCCTCTTCTGCCTTGGGTTATTCGCATTTCCCGTTTCATCTTATCATACCTTTACTATTATTATTTTTACGGTGTTCATTTAGATAGTGTGATGCGTTCCTTTGAGCGACATGACATCTTCACACTCCAACTGGCGTACTCACACCCCCCCCTTCATCCTTGTGCAGGGAATGTTGATCAGAGTCTGCTTTATTATTATTATGCAGTCCTCTTTTCTAGTCTTATTCCAATCTCCCTCTTGCTCCGTTAAATCCGTATGCTGTACCCCTTGTCCACTTATTTCACTCGACTCTTGCCACCACATCTGTCCTACTCGAGGCGTTATTCACCCTCCCCTACGTCTGGGTGACTAATTCGAGGCGCAAGCCTCTGAGTGTCATGGTCACCCCTTTGCTACATGTACCATGTCTCTGGTACAACAGACCTACCGTCAGCCAACTAGCGCTGGTCCCCGCCGTCTCTATCCTGTTTCTATCCCTAATACCAAGTCTATGACTTGCCATGCCCTAGTCTCTTGTGTGCCAACCCAGCTTGTTTTGATTTGGTTCAATGTTGAACCACAACATTTGTGGGTTGGTGCACAAGAGACTAGGGAATAGGAAGTCATAGACTTGATATCATAGATAGAAAGAGGATAGAAACAGTGGAAACTAGAGCTGGTTGGCTAATAATAGTCGTGATTCAAGGATCACGTTTAAGATCAAACAAGTCTATTGTTAGCCAAACAGCTCTAGTCTCCACCACGTCTTTCCTGTTTCTATCTGTAATACCATGACTATCATTTCCTACCTCCTAGTCTCTTGTATGCCAACCCACAAATGTCGTGGCTCACTGAAGACGTCTCCTCTTTGATTCTGATTCTTTCCTTCTCATCCCCTTGCGATCTCTTTTCCTAAAATTAAGGATATTACCTTGATCTAGTCGTCTTATTTTTGCTGAACTTAATGTTACCTGATCTTCGCCGAGTTTGTTTAGGCAATATACAAGGTTTTCGCTGATCCTGCCTTCTTTAAGTCTCCTGTTCATTAGATTTCTCTCGGTCAGTTTTTCAATGGCCTCTCGGATCTTGCGTTTTCTCGTATTTTTACCACATGCAGCCAGCCTTCCGGTTGATTTCCAGTCGATTTCGTTCCCCGTTCGTGTAATGTGTTCCGCTATTTCGGATCTTTTCGTATCCATGTTCCTGCAGAGTCTTTGATGTTCCTTGATTCGTAGGCAGATTTTTTGTCCTGTTTCACCAACATACTTCGACTCACAGTTGCCGCATTTGATGCGATAAACTCCCGAACAATAAAGTTTATCCGTCTTCTCTTGTTGCGTTGGCAGACCGGTGAAAAGTGTTTTTTTCTCCTTTGTTATCACCTTGATAGTCAATTTTCCCTATAAAGGTTGCAATTGTTGGCTCAGTTGTGATGAGGGCAAGCAAATCCTCTTTTGGCTGTTATCCTCATTCCTGATCTGATTTTCATAAAATCCAATTTGAAATCGGCCCTTTATAGCTGCTACATTTTTATCGATAAATTCTCTGGGGTATCCATTACTTAGACAAATCCCTGTCAGTTTGTCCAATTCCTCGTCCCAGAACTCAGTGTCCGTTAGTCGTAAGCTTCTGATGATTAAACTCCTGAGTATTCCCATCTTTAGTCTGTAGTTGTGATGAGACTGGAAATTAAGGATTATTCCCGCATACAAATTCTTTCTCTATAGTTTCCGTTTGAGTGTCCCTCTGGAGTGTATGACTTCAACATCCAGAAAGGGTAGTCGTTCATCCTCCTCCACCTCCATTGTAAACTTGATTCTTTCGTCAAGTTGGTTAATGAGGAATTCATTTAGATTTTCATTACAATTTGACA